ATATATATATATATATATATATATATATATATATATATATATAGACACACACACACATACATACATATATACATACATGCACATATATCAATAAATTAGTGAAAATACTAATTATTAAAGTATTATATTGTAAACGTAAAAAAATCAAATATTCTAAAAAACATAGAGCCTGTTTGGGAATAGCGTTAGAGATTAGCGTTAGTGTTTTGGATAAAATTTTGGGCTTGTTTGGGAAGAGTGTTTTCAATTAGCGTTAGCGTTTTGGATAACATATTAATGGTGTAGATTAATTCGGAAAACGCTAACCCTAAAGGCTACCGTCAGATTGCTTTTTCAAAACGCTAACGCTAATTTCTAACGCTGATGCCAAATGGGGCCTTTAACAGTGCAGATTAATTTGAAAACGCTAATGCTAAACGCTACCCGTAGATAGCTTTTTAAAAACGGTAACGCTAATCTCTAAAGTTATTCCCAAACAGGCCCATAAGAGACGGAGAGTAAAAGAAGTCAAACTATAAATTTGTTTTATGGGAGGGGAGGGACTAGGGAGTAATTAGAAAGCCTCTTTTTGCCCACTCCGATCCTATTAAAGAAAGTAAGTAATAATAGTCTTAATAATGTCGACATTATTCCCCAAGTAATGTACACGTGTCAAATTCCCTCTCCAATTGCAACACTGCATGGCTTTGCATGTCGCCATGTTACCCACACTTTCTCCTCCTGTTAAATCATATTCCAAAATCACACCATATATAAAAATGTCCCTTCATTCAACCTGCACCGTAAGAAAGAAGTAAAGAAAGCTCTGCAAACTGCATTCGTCTTTTCCTAATTAATTACCCATGAACAAGTTCTTCTTCTTTCTTTTAATCATTTTTCCGGTTCTGGGGGTTTCCGCCGGAGATGATTGCGGCTATGTTTCCGGCGGCTCCGAGGGCCAAGACCGGTCGGAGGCCTTGAGGTATAAGGTGATAGCGGTGGCTTCAATTCTCTCGAGCGGGGCGGCCGGCGTCACGCTGCCGCTGGTAGGGAGGAGGTTTCCGGCGTTCTCGCCGGAGAGTAAACTGTTCGTTCTGGTGAAGGCGTTCGCCGCTGGCGTGATCTTGGCCACCGGGTTCGTCCACGTGCTCCCGGACGCGTTTGAGAGCTTGGGCAGTCCGTGCCTGCCCGATAAGCCGTGGGGCGGTTTCCCCTTCCCCGGC